GGGGAAGCTGCTGTTCTTCAGCAGGAGCACGCCCTGCCAGGCCTGGGACAGCTTCTGCGAGCCGGCCCCTTGCTTCGACGGCGGCGCCGACGACTTGGAGGACGACGAGTTGCCGGAAAGGAACGGCGGGTGGGAGGGGTCCCCCCTCCTGATGGGGCTCCTACACAGGTCCCCGGCCTTGCGCTTGCGGTCTCTGTCCGAGCTGGCGCCCGGCGCGGTGGGGCTGAGCGTCCTCCTCCTCTTCTCCGAGGGGCCGGTCGGGTCCAGGCTGCTCTGGTGCTCCCTGGCGGGAGAGAGTCTGCCGGCGTGGGGCGCCCGCTCATTGTCATTGTAGCGGCCCATGCCCCCGGGGCTGCGCTCCAGCGAGTTGCCGCGGCGCCGGCGGACGAAGTCGCCGCCGTTGGGCGAGCGGTCCGGGCGCCGGCCGTCGTCCAGCGGCCGCCGCTTGCGTCCCGCGTCTCGCAGCTCCCGCTCCCGCTCCAGGGACCACGTCTCCCGCGCTCGCCTCTCCAGGATCAGGTGGTCGATGGGCTCGAACCCGGGTCCCCGGGCCCTGTCGTGGAGGTCGAGGCCGGCCCACTCGTTGCCGGGGTAGAGGTCCCTCTCTCTGAAGCGCAGGGAGATGGAGGAGGGGGGCGGAGACCTCTCTCGGACCCGCAGGGACTCCGGGAGCGGGCGGTGCTCGAAGGCCTCTGGGACCAGGTCGTAGGGGGGCAGCGGGAGGTGCTGCATGTACTGCTGCAGGTAGCGCTGCTCGGTTTCCGCGAAGTCCACCCTCAGCCTCCGGTCCGGCCCCCCCAGGGGGAAGCCACGCATGTGGGTGCAGGCGGCCTGGGCGGCGTCCAGGCTCTCGTACTGGATGTAGGCCCAGGGGTCCCCCTTCCTGTAGTCTATAGTCCTGATGGTGCCGAAGCGGTCAAACTCCCGGGCCAGGGCGGCCACCGGGACCCACGGACCGAGACCCCCCACCCACAGCCTGGTGGTGGGCGTGGCCTTGCCGTAGCCCACCTTGATGGGGTTGCGGCCCACCACTTTGCCGGACATGGCCACCTTGGCCCGGTGGGCCATGTCCAGGTTCTCGAACTTCAAAAAGCCGTAGGTGCTGTTCTGGCCGCGCACGGCCCGCTTGATGTCCACCTCGGTGATGACCCCGAACCGGTCAAACGCCCTGCGCAGGTCGTGGTCCGTCACGGTGATGTCGAGGTTGCCTAAGAACAGCGTCCGGTTGGCCCTCTGGACGTCTTCGGGGGCCATCAGGTCCTCCTCCCGGAACGGGGCGCACTCGGGGATGAACTGGGGCCGCGGGTTCCGGCTCTCGAAGATGGAGAACTCCCGGTCCCGCTCCAGGTCCCGCAGGTGGATCGGCGGCGGCGGCTGCTGCTGCGCGTGAGCTTGCGCGTGAGCGTGAGGCAGCGGCGGCGCGTGAGGCGAGGGGAGGTGGCCCAGCGCGAGCTGCTGCAGCCGGTAGTCCCGGTAGCCCAGGCCCGCGGGCGACATGGCCCGCTGCGGGTGCACGTTGCCGCGGTGGCCGCCGCCGCCGCCGCCGGGCGGGAAGCTGGCCACCGGGGAGCGGCTGCGGCGGCGGTTCATGAACACGGGGTCGATCTTCAGCGGCCGGTCGTACAGCACCAGCTTGCCGCGCGCGTGCTTGGCCGCCTTGGCGTCGTCGGGCCTCCGGAAGTTGACGAAGGCCACCCGCTGGTCGCCCGCGCGGCTGATCTTGACGCTCACGTCGCCGAATTTCTTGAACTCGTGGAAAAGGCCGTCCTCGATCTCCTCGTCGTTCAGCTGGGAGCCCAGCTCGCTGATCTTCAGCGTCTTGTACTCACCCTCGGAGCTCGCGGTGCGCGTGTCGCCGCGCGAGTTGGTCCGCGGAGCCGCCGCCGACGACGCGGCCGCGGCGGCGGCGGCGGCGAGGTCAACGCCGCCGCCGCCTCCGCCGCTGCTACTGCCGTGCACTTTGTTGCTCGAGCTCGCGTTACCGTAGTCGTGGTGGCTGGCGCCGGTCCGGCCGGCGCTGCTACTGCTGTTGCTGTTGTGTCCGTCCGCGTCCCTCATGTCGCCTTTGTCATTGGGCAAAGTCCTCCGGGCGGAGACGCCGCTGTTCGCCGCCGAACCGTTGCTGCCGCCGCCGCCGCCGCTCGTCCCGGACGGCGGACCTAGCTTCTTGGCGAGGTGGCCTCCGCGCTCTCGGATGTCGTCTATGATCCGCGAGCGTTTCTTCAACGGCGACCGCTCCTTGCCTTTCATCTCTTCAAAAACGTCGTCCCGGTGGGTGGAAGGAGCCGCGCGCGCGGTGCATATACAAGGGGAAAAAAGTAAACTTGAACGAACTACTAAACGTGGATATTTTTTTTTTTTTAGTTTAACGGTGCAGCTTCACGCCCGCCATCTTGGACTCTGCTCCGGTACCGATTCCGCCTACGCGTCAGTGGAGGGCGGCGATTGGCTCCCCGGACGCCACTTGTCCAATGGCGTCACGACCCCTGCGCCTATTGTAAAACGGGGTGCGGCCCTAAGGGGTCAAAGGAAGCGATGATCGCACGTTCTGCGAAATCATGTGCATGTGGACACAAGTAGTCATAAAATATGTTTTTTATTGCGAATGGCGTCCAAACAAACTACTACCGTCGTTCAGTGTATCACAAATGGATGTAGCGACTATGTGTTGCTTGTGCGTAATTGTACATAAAAGCAAAATGTTACACATTTCAAATGGCTACTTCCACTATTTTGATCATAACGTCAGAGGTCCGAATAAATGATGCGTTTACAAACCGAGACACTTCCCACCACTAGTGGGCAGAAAGAGACACTTTTGTGGGCTTGCAAAGACTAGTGCTGCATCATTTATTTAATTCAAGAACCGATACACCAGTTTATATGAATAATAAACATTATTGACATTATTTCCTTTTCATGAATTGTATTAGCATTGTGATAAGCACTGACACCGACACGAAAAAAACAAAACAGAATTTGAACCAAATATAACCAAAATAAACACATCCATAATATACAAATGCTTTACATAGGCCTAATAAGTGTCTGTTACATGAACAAGCAATTTTCTGACCTTTGGCCAAAAAAATCATTCAGGGGAAAAAGCTTTTCTTTTTTTTTTTTGCTGCTGCTGCAGAAGTATTTTAGCAGGATTATGTGGTGGGGGGGGGGGGGGGGGGGGGGGGGCAGCGGCCTTCACCCTGTGAGCTGCCCTGCTATGAAACGCCATCTGCTACAACTCCACCGCGCAGCGTCACATGCTGCAGGCAGCACGGCAAGCTGTGCCATGTGCCGCTAATATGGCTTAAGTGCATATAGGGACACTAAGAGCGTATGCATTTCCATGGGTTGTACTTTAATTTACACCACTTGAATACATGTCCAATAAAAGAGGTAATTTAGATTTTCATTTGAGATGGATGCACAATGCAGTGTACTGTCCCATGTCAGCTCAACCTAAAGAGAAGATTGAATTTTTTTGTTTTTTTACAGAAGTGTGGGAAGGGTGTTTTGCAACCTATTATTATAGATACTGTACATTTTAGTAGAGGAACAGTGTATGGTGTGGTCACACACTCGCTCTCTGAGGGCGACCCACGTTCATCTCTTTCTCACGTTCTCTGTCTGTCTATATGTCTCTGTGTCTCTGTGTCTCTAAACACAACAGAAGCAGATAACCGGTGCGTTCTGCACTGATGCATAATGCAAATGTAATGGGATATACACGAAGGTCTGAAGGTATTATGTGTTGATGAACCGACAGATAGTGTACCTGTATCACATTTTCTTGTTGGTGGGATATTTGAGTTGTTGTGATAGATTAGAGGAGTGGCTTTATGAAAGGAATCCTTCAAATTCAATTAACATTATTTTGGATTCAACTATTTTGTCCTATATATTTTATACATTTACGTACATCAACTGTACATATCATAGCATATACATCCTCAGCATTGAGTCACATGTATGTATGCACGGCTATTACACTATTCACTAAAAAAAAAACTTTATACATGAGTAATAGGTATAAAAATAGCAGCTTTTATTTTAGGGGCCGAGCATGACCCAGACAACGCATGAGGAGAGAGAGAGGAGGGGGAAGAGAGAGGAAGGAGGGAGAACAAGCAGGCAGGAGAGATGGGGGAGAGCAGAAACAATAGGGGGGAGCAGAGGGAGGGAGGAGAGAGAGAGAGAGAGAGAGAGAGAGAGAGAGAGAGAGAGAGAGAGAGAGAGAGAGATGGAGGGGGCGAGAGAGAGGGAGGGGGCGAGAGAGAGGGAGGGGCGGAGGGAGGGAGGCTGGAATATAAATGAGGATGGGGCAAAGGAAAAGTACTGGGTGCATGTGTTGGTGCAGAGACACAATGTGTGCGCGCACGTGAGTGGAAGTGGCTGAGAGTGAATCCAAAGAAACGGAAGCTTCCACTGAAATAAAGGGGGGGGGGGCTCAAGGTGTACAGAGACAAGTGAAGGTGAATGGCCAAGAGAGAGCGAGATGGGAGATAATATATTGGTACGTCTCAGTCAGGAGTAAGGCTACTGATGCCCATATGGAGTCGCCCTCTGACAACACTAGGGATGACTTACACTGAAGACCAGCACGTAGTGAAGACGCTAGCCAGGGCTTTTTTCAATGTGACAAAGGCAACAGCTGTACAAAATGGAGCCTGACTTTGAGACAATGTTAACTTTAAACAGGCCAGGGAAAAATGGATGCAGTGTACGTATGGCTACAGCTATACCATGCAGGACCGTGACCCTACAACCAATAGCGGCACGCCGCTGGTCAACTGCTAACCAGAGAGGGTAGCAGCCCAGCAGTCCCACAGGCCTTAAGTGGCTAAGACAACCTTAAAAGAGGTGAAACCGCAACCACACTGTTTTCTACACACGACTATAATACTATATTTTCTTCTTTTCTTACACTGTATATGTATGCCATTTGGTTGACCCTTTTAAACGACTTACAATACCGTGAGTGCATACATTTTGAACATGGGTGGTCCCCGTGGGAATCAAACCCCTAACCCAGGCAATATAACTGCCATGCTCTACCAGTTGAGCCAGTCAGGACAGTTGGCTTTTGCTGCCTTACCGGAGCCACCAGACCATTTATCATCATTAAGAGTTGATTTGTTTAGACTTGTCTTTCTTGCAAGACTGCTGTCAACTTACTGGAACATTACTGAGCGTCTATTAATAAAACAAGAGGTTGAGTCAGTAAAGAATACGTAGTGGACTAGTCTCTCTCCTGACAGTTCAAAGCGATGAGTCGCTGCCTGTCCAATCAAGCAGAGGTTGCTGTGGCAACGGGTCCCCATGGTCTGCCCTGAGAAGGTGTATCAACGGAGGCAGCGAGCCAAGATCAGTCAGTTACACAAATAGTACATCTATTACAATGAGTGGGCTTAGCAGGGCTATCTTTAGTTGAAACAGGAAGACAGTGTACCATTCAGCTCAGAATAGTACATGGGCAAAATCCAAAAATATGGGGCTGTTGTTTTTATGAAAAGCTTATAACCAAATGTATCCATATAAGGTATTGTATAGAATGGTATTATATTGTATTTATTTATTTACCTGGGTTAGGCTTGCTGAGCATCACAAAATGTTTTCATTTGGTGTCAAGCCCAGTCAAACCCAGGACCCTTTCAGCTGTGACTGAGGTTGCGATGCAGATCCCATCGTTCAACCACTGTAGCGTTTGTTTTGATGAGCAACACTGGGAATAACAAGCAAGCACACATGATATCTTACTTACGATGAAATAAGCGTTCCTTGAGATATTTGGCATGAGATATATCGATGCATGTCAGGAAGAAAAACAACCTCCAGACAGCCCCCCCCCCTGTCTTGGCTGGGGGAAAATAATAGTCTGCTGGAGGGAGCTTGATTTATGGTCTCTGTCTATGGCTCACTGTCCCCTGAAATCGTGTTGCACGTCCAAAGTCTCGACCACCCCTGAGGTCAAGTCAAGGCACATATAACATCTTCAGCCCAACAAAGTCTGGTATGATTTTGAATCATTAAGTGATTCACCTATCATTAGATTTAATCTACAAGTGAATTATGTGGACCATTTATTATTCATAAGGCTGTGGCGGCCTAGCTGCCCGCCAAGTGTGAAAGGTCAGTGTTCATAAGCGTTAAACTTCATCACACACTCGTCATCACACAGTGGACCATTTGCCAAAGTGCATTAGAAATAAATTAAAAAGCCCTGACATTACAGTTACAACAGTGTGATGAATGGCTCCACATGTTTAGGATGAATAACACACGCATCTATGCCCTATCCTCCTGACAGTATGACGATATTTACGTCACACCGGGTTGAATAACCTTGAGATGTGCAACAACAACCACAAAAAAGACCAAAAAAAAGCACCCTTATGTTTCGAGGGGTGTGTCTCGCCACCGGATGACGTCACTCTCGCGTAGCGCTTCGTCGATGTGTCAATGAAACACGTCGGCGTCGCCGTGGCTCCCAGCTCTCTCCTCCGTGCACGTCAAGTCCTCCAGCCGTGCGCGTTCACGTGGCCGGGTACCACAATCATCCCGCGATGGTGATGCTGCGCGGATGTAAAACCATCTCCAACGTGTTAGGATTATTTTACTGTAACAACGGCGTTGACGTGCCACGTTTGGATTGACTTGACGGCTGAAACAAGCATTCATCACGGTGAGGGGACTTTTTTTTTAAATTATTATTATTGGTTTACTTGATTCTATTTTGCTTTGCGTTAATTTTTTTTCTCCTAGAAATCTCTGAGATTAAAGCATAGGACGATTACACCTGAGAGAGACATGCCCATGTTAACTATCACCTTATCAAATATCTGTGGGTTAAAATGCAAATTGTAACAGAAGTTTCCAGGCAGACACAACGCAATATTTCCAAACATTTCCTCAGCGCTGCTGTAGCACCGGATCCCTTAAAATGCAAAGAACTTAAAGAGGATGTGAGGAAATGGTGTAGCATGTTCATAAAGACATGGTGATTGTTTCTTAACGTATAGGCCTGTCTAGTAGCCCGTTGATGTCACGAAGCACTGCGTCCAGCCATCACATGTTTCTATTTGACCTTGAGTGTGTGAGTGTGTGTGTGTGTGTGTTTTGGAGGCGCCATTCATAATAGAGCAGCATACAGACAGGTGGACACTGCGTTTGCAGAAGATGTAGTAGATGCGACTGGTTCATTTATTATCCATTAGGAGGAAAGACGCGTTGATTGTCAGTTGGCTGTCCTTTATACATCTATTATCTTAAAGAGCCCAACCCATTGGAACTTCTTTCTAACATTTATTTACAGTAAGATAAACTTCTCTACATATACATAAATAAGTATTGTGTGTGTGTGTGTGTGTGTGTGTGTGTGTGTGTGTGTGTGTGTGCGTGCGTGCGTGCGTGTGTGTGTGTGTATGTGTGTGAGTGTGTGTGTAAACAAGCATATATATATATATATATATATATATATATATATATATATATATATGATAACAAGGTAGCTCCCAATATTACATGTTCTACATTCAACTGCCACTATTGTGTTTATTACAGACGGTCCAACATTTGATCAGCAGTGCAAGATAGCTGATTGATTGCATATATTTAAGAGCATATATTTGTCTTTTTAAAGTAAAGCTTTGTCTTTGTAATGAAATATTGAAGGATTCCTGGCCTCAGATATGTTATTGCTATATTTAGCAGAGATTTTCCATATGTCCGTACCAATCAGAGGAAGTACGTCCATGCTTTCCTGTTGAGTGCACATCAACACACAGTTCCAATCAACCAGAAGGTAAAGAGTCAATCGATTATTCGAAGTTGTGTTATGTTACATATATATTACAGCAATCAATGTTATGGTTAGAGATAAAACAAAGATAACATATTTTCAAAAAAGTCAGCATACAAGAAGCCCAGCTTTTTAATGGAATAAGTTGTAGAACTACATTTTCTAACCACAGTTCTGCATGACTAATACCTGCAGGAATGCAGGAATGCAGTCAGAGATTAGTATTAGTTTGGTAGGCTATAGTTCAGTTTATTTATAGTCACCGGAATTAGTTATGGTCATCTCCTGTGTGTAATATGTAACAATGTAAAACAATAGTTTCTGTTACAATCGCAACATGACCATGCTAAAAGACCTCTTGCATAAGGATGCTGATTTAGTTTACCCCAATAGAGGATTACAGGTCTCTATTCCCTTTTTGCTGACACTCCATCCATAACGCTATTGTATGATACACTTGCTCTGATGTGGTGGATAAAAAGCATTGTCCAGTCAGATTTGCTATTGCTGCACGACAAGTTTTTTCATGTTTTACTAAAACAGGATTCTGATTGGATGGGCTGGTTGGCTGGTGTGTTGATGGATGAGATAGATAGATAGATAGATAGATAGATAGATAGATAGATAGATAGATAGATAGATAGATAGATAGATAGATAGATAGATAGATAGATAGATAGATAGATAGATAGATAGATAGATAGATAGATAGATAGATAGATAGACAGACAGACAGACCGATGGATAGATAGATAGATAGATAGATAGATAGATAGATAGATAGATAGATAGATAGATAGATAGATAGATAGATAGATAGATAGATAGATAGATAGATAGATAGATATATGAGATAGAGTGCATAGCAGGAGATTGGATTGGCAGTAGTGGAGCAGAGCTGGGGGCGGGTGGGGGGGTTTAGTGTTAATGCACATAGGATTAGGAAGAGTTTCCATGTTCAACTTATGATTGGCAGTGGATTACACTGCCATTCACACACACACACACACACACACACACACACACACACACAGGATTTTCTTTTACTTAAAGGGAATGTGAAAAGAAGGCCTTTTGACCGTCAGCTCAGGATAACAGCCAGGAGTGCCAAGGTGTTACTCTAGCCAGAACTCTCTCTCTCTCTCTCTCTCTCTCTCTATCTGACCTCTATTAAACCTTGTTACATGACACCTATCCCTATTGCTTCTGTAGGAGCCAAACATACTTTTCCAAGCTGTCCATGCCATCAAGTCTCATACTTGCAGCGATCATCATCACAATGCCATATGGGTGCTGTGGAGGGAGCAGTCGTTCCTCTATGGAGCGCTGTTCCTGTTTACTCTAAAGCCCAGCCTACGGTGATACTCTGACATCACAGGCCCCCAACATAGCCTTGTCCTTGTCTGAGGCTATAGTGACGAGTAGGGCTTTATTTGATGCACTACTCAATAAGTGATGAGACAGGCTCGGATCGGGGATCGGGAGTACCACCTGACTGTGGTTTGTCCACGGCCTCACGATTGGTTGAAACTTGAAATGATGTTCTATTTGGACCAAACCAACCTGGGGGGGGGAGGGGGGTAAGGATGGTGAGGGAGGGAAGGCTCCAGGGGATTAGGGGATTTACGTGAAAATAAAAGCGTCCCTAAAGTTAAGCTCACAGGGCAGAGAAATGAAGTAAAACCATTTTATGAGATTGAGAATTTTATGGACGAGCCCGGGGTCAACACTGTTTATTATTATTTATTGTATTTTGTTTTGTTATGTAGAAACAACTTTTCAAATACACTACTACTCTATTTTACATGCAGAAATATGCCGAGACATTTCAATAAGGCATAGCCTACTTTGCCTTTTCGTCCCACTTGAACTTCCTCCCATCATGTCAAATCTCCCCCCACCTAGTCATCTTATGTTATATCATTTTCGACATAAAGGCATCAAGGTGTATTTTTTACAACATTTTTTACAACAAAGTACTTTGTTGTATGTTGTTGTGTTTCACACATTGGAGTCTGGATTGCAGTCCACAGTTTTAAGAGCGTGCACAGTTACCACATCCACTGTTGTAAAACCAGGATGCCAAGAAAGCAGCTAAAATAGCTATATAACTATTTGCTTCATGTAGTTTTGATTGCTATAAATATGAACTCACAGAATAAACATTGCTTGAACTTGGGTATTATATCACACAATAACATCTGGTCCTTTTTTTGTGGTCCAGTTAAGTTTGATGAATGCATTGCTGTCTTTATGCTGACACACCTA